AAGGGCGTATTTTCCCTAAGTTGCAGGTAACCTCGTATGTCCTGTGGGTATTCCTCTCTGTCTGCCTGTTGGCAGCTAATAGGACTGGTCACCGTTGTTGTTATTATGTGGTGGAGTAAGTTTCTGCTGGTATGGAGATAATACTATGGGATTGGAATGAATATAGGATTTTTAATGCAAATAGCAAGGAAAAAAAAACTCACAATTATCTGGATTCTGCTCTTTCTTTTTTCTAGGTGGTTCAAGAGGACACACTCCTAACAAGCTGATGTCCTTTCATTTTTCATTTGAGAAATATTTATGTACATTCGTAAATAATTGTAATAAAGTTTTTTTCACCTCTAAATGTTTGAATGTTTATAGGATTTGAATCTTGAAATTCTAAGAAACCAATTTCTAAAACAGACATTTACCTGTTTTAATGATCTATTGTTAGACTTGTTTCCCCTTAACGCATCAATTTTGCATTTAAAACAATAATTAATGTCTTAATTAATAATTAATGTTTATGAATGGATTTGTTTTGTGACTAGTAAAAGCTGCATTCTTAAGGAAAATATATTAACGGTATAACACTGACATTTTCAAAGATTTTAGCAATTAGGGGTCGATACACAAATTGCTAAAATCTTTGAAAATGTCAGTGTTGAGCACTGAACAAAAAAGAGAAGGGTTTTCGTCCCAAATATTTTAATTAGTAGAATTAAAAGAGGTCATTAAAAAAAATTCTAATTCTTTTGAGATACCTCTGGGAATAAACCCTATTTTTTGGTTCATCAAACCATAGTCCACTGTTATGTATACATATCAGTTAATTTAATATCTAAACACACTGTAGATTAAATAACTGGATTTCCAGCTTTCTTTTATAGACAGACTTCATCACAAGATACTTTTAGATAATATTAGAGGGATATTGGGAAATAGACTAGAAAACATCTCAATTATAAAGAGTAAATTGTAGGTTTAATAATCATAATATGATCAAGTTTATTTATATGTAGATTTAAATTAAAAGTGGGCCTAATTTGGCTTGTTTAAATCTACTAATTACACCTTTACCTTTGCTCTGTACTGGGCCTTTAAGTGGGTTTTACATCCGGAGCAACAGCTTCATATCCCGGATACAAGAGAGCCAGAGTGCTGCCGAAGACAACCCACCTTTAACGGTTTGGTTTATAAAGGATAAACAGGTACATACCACTTATTACTGTGTCAGTAAAGTGAAAACATGATTAAATAAGTAGTTATTTAGCCGCAGTGTTGCATGCATGCCTCAGATTCCTGCAGAGTGGAGCAGCAGGCCGGATGTAAACATGGAGGCGATTTGTGGTGCAATGTTTACATTAAGCTTTAGGCATGGAGAGTCACTTCAAAGAAGATTATTTTATGTGTTTCTGTTACACAAAGAATCATACACAGATTGCATATTTCCCCTAAAAGAAAGCCAGTCATTAAACATTATTTTAGCAATGGTGGTGTTGCAGTCCACTCCAAACTCCCTTTAGATTTCATATTAGTTTCCTATTAATGTATTTTTTGACAAAAGACCAGAGAAATAGTATAAGAAGTATAATTTTGTAATCGTGTTTTATCATTATTTATATTTCGGTTTTTATATATAAACACTATTTAACTGTAATTCTTTTATATCGCCTATTTTACACTCGCATGAATAGAGGAAGTCACCTGAGCTAACGGTTAGCAAAAGGCTAACAACGTTAGCATACGATTAGCATTGTTTTAGTTTTCCACTGAAAAACACCGAAATAAAGAGTGGACATTTCTCCCGAAGATATATTAAGACAGAATGATATGTCTTTAACTGTTGAATAACTAACGTTAGCTAGCTCATGAAACATAAACGCTTGCTGTTGTTAAAATTCACACGTTTTTTTAACTAAGTCTGGTTCTCATTCACGTTTTCCATGAGGGGTCAGGTGGGATGAGATTCTGACCAAATACGATGTACTTTATTAATCTCAAATTGGGAAATATTTTCCTCACAGCATCATGTAAAACAAAGTGTTACACATAATTAGAGTAGACAATAAACAATCATACAATATAAACATCTCACAATAGAAGGAAACAAATGTAACTAAAATCAAAATATAAAAGTTGACCGTGAAGATAAAAATCTTTAAACTACCTGACAAATAAAACACAATTTAAGGGCTTAATTACAGCTAACACAATATAAAAGTAGGATATTAATTAAATTTAGTGTGCAACGATGGTATATTTAATTAAATATAAATGTAAAATTTACAGTGTGAAGTCATAAGTCCAGATGGTAGTTACAGTATATCTTTAATAACTGTATGTGCTTTATTTGCACACACTTTTATTTATGCATATTTAAATAAAAACCTTTTTTAAGTAAAATGATCAAATATACACTATTTCTGAATGTGTCCTTTACAGGTGCATCTCGGTTCACGATGTCTCAGAACCAGGTGATCCTGCAGTTCCGCTTCGCCACATTCGGCGACTCGATGCTGCAGAAGATGAACCTCCTGAGACACCAGAGGCGATTCTGTGACGTCACGGTTCGCATCAACCAGCTGGAGGTCCCCGGTCACAAAGTGGTGTTCGCCGCCGGATCCTCTTTCCTGAGGGACCAGTTCATCCTGCAGCAGGACTCCAGGGAGGTGCAGATCTCCATGATCCAGGAGGCGGAGGTGGGCCGGCAACTACTGCTCTCCTGCTACACGGGACAGCTGGAGTTTCCCGAGCTGGAGCTGGTGCATTATCTGACCGTCGCCAGCTTCCTGCAGATGGGCCACATTGTGGAGCAGTGCACTGAGGCTCTCAGTAAGTTTATCAAACCTGCACGCAAGCTGGAAGTGGAAGTGGAGGTGAGAAGAGAGAAGGAAGAGGGGTTGTCCAAGAGAGAGCTGGAGGTTCGGACTGTCCACCAGAATAAGCAGGACAACGAGGAAGATGATCGTGATAGTGATGATGATGATGTGATTATACAGCCTAGTTCCCCTCCTCAGATCTTAAGCAGGTGTCCAAAGCAGCAGGCTGACGTTGATATCGCAATCGTAAAAGTGGAATCGGTGTCTGACGAAGCAGAAAACTCCTCCGTCGCTCACTTCCCCAGGAGCCCACCTCCCGCCCTGCACTCCCCCGAGCCCCAGCACTCCCTCATCAACTCCACCGTGGACAGTCGTTGCGGCGAAACTGCGGCGCCCCCCGGGGTGTCGGGATACCCCCTCAGTCCTGTGAGCCCCCCGCCTCCATCACCTCCTGCTGAGAAGCACAGCGTCCACCAGAGGAACTACGACAAACCCCTGCAGTGGTATGTTGGATTTTCTACGATCTGAGTTTAGCATTAGCTGAAAAGAGTCTAGGAAGCATATTTACAAGTTAACATCGTTTAATAAAACAATGGTACAATGATACAATGAATTTGCAAAAGGTTAGCCCGGCCGAGCTTGCTCCAATCCGTGTTTCGCAGGGGATGAGAAATAGACCCACTTCCTGTTTGTGTCACATATTTATCATCTGTAGTCTTCTCCCATTGGCTTAGCGTCTATGGGGGCGGGTCCAAGGCAGGTCCTGTCGTTTTCTGATGTTAGTTTTACAATCTTCTAATATCTGTTATCATTTAAACATTCCCTAATAATAGTATTGCAGCGTCAATAAGTGAGAGTTGAAGACAGTGTGTTTAGTTTGCAACACCACGTGTCATTCTCCTTTTATTCACGTACACAAAATAATATTAGCTACATGCTAATGCTTCAAACGCTGTCTGCCAGACAGGAAGTTGAATGTGTCGACAATGTCGTGAACATCCGGTTACAGAATAAAACAGTGTTATTAATTTAAAGTTACGGCACATATATATTGATTTTATTCCTTACAGGTACCACCAGTGCCCCAAATGCTCCCGTGTTTTCCGGCAGCTGGAGAACTACGCCAACCACCTGAAGATGCACAAGCTGTTCATGTGCTTGCTGTGCGGGAAGACCTTCACGCAGAAAGGGAACTTGCACCGACACATGAGGGTTCACGCCGGGATCAAGCCCTTCCAGTGTAAGATCTGCGGGAAGACCTTCACGCAGAAGTGTTCGCTGCTGGATCATCTGAACCTGCACAGCGGGGACAAGCCGCACCGATGCAACTACTGCGACATGGTGTTCGCTCACAAGCCTGTTCTCCGTAAACACCTGAAACAGATCCACGGGAAGAACAGCTTCGACAACGCCAACGAACGCAGCCTGCAGGACGGGGGGATTGACTTTGATTTTGGGCAAATATGACATTTTTGTTGAATGCATTCAGTCATTTACACGTAGACTTTCCCACTGGTGGAATATTATCAATCTAAATAACAGTCCTGAGAAACTCACAGCTGTTTCCATTTTCTGAGTTGGGAAGACTTTATTCAAACTTCCATGTGAAGAGATGTCCATGTGCTTACAAACATAGATGCTTTCAAGCAGATGAGCTGTATGTTATTGCTCTGCGCTTTAAGACTTTAAGAACATATTCATCTGTTGCCGGTTCTCCGTAAACACTTCAAACAGATCCACTGGAAGAACAGCTTCGACAAAGCGAACAAAGGCAACCTTGACTTTGATTTTTGGGCAAATATGAGCAAACAACTCTGGATTCAGCTTTTAACGCTTTTTACAACTTGCAGACCCTAATGGTTTTAATTAAGGGCTATAAAAGTGATCGTTTTTTGTAATTTATTTAGCTACAAAAAAATGATTTACAGATGTCTATAAGTCAATGGTAAAAAGTATTTGTCACGGAAGCTGTAGTACAACCGTTTGGCCACTACGACCATTCATACAAATCTGTGAACTTTTTTTTTGCAGTTTTGTTTAAGGCAGGGGTGTCAAACTCAATTTCATCGCGGGCCACATTCGCATAAAGGTTGCACTCAAAGGGCCGGTTGTAACTATATAAATATATTTTATATATATATATATAAAATAATGTATTATATTACATTATTGCCCCTGCATTGGATTATTATCGGATAGGGTAATAATTAACTACGTCTGAAAGCAGAAGTCTAGGGCAAATAATTGCAAGTCTCT